AAGGAGGGGAATGGGGCCGCGTGGGGCCCGCGTGGGGCGGGGACGGTGCGGTAGGGGCCATGGTGGTACAGCCCCCGCCTTGCCCCGCAGTCAGGGATCGCCTCAGAAGTGGCTTGAAATAAAACCTGCACGTTGTTTTTTTTAAACTGCTGTAGAAAAGTTGACTTCTCAGGCAACTCCGGTGTTTTCTTGTTTTCCCTCTTCTAAGAGATACTGCCACAGGGAATTGTATTTTCCATCCTAACTTGGGGATCCTTGTTTTCCTGAATTTAAGTAATAAGAAATACTGACACGAGATCTAAGCTGCACCTGTACGGTGCTACTTAAATCATTACTTAATGATTTAAGGCAGGACTGGTCTTGCTTTGTAGACAGCTTTTACCTAGCTATATTAATGAATTTCAGTGTAAACAACTAACCCTTTAGATTGGGACAGGGCTGTTTTCACTATTGAAGCATTTTCCCTGTGATAAATGTATCCCTGTGTTACAGATTTAGATAAAAACATAAGATGTCTCTTCAAATAAACATAATAAAGGTGAGATTTTTCATCTGCTGTGATAGAAAGATGAGTGCAAAACCTCTGTTAAAATCCTGCAAATAGTAAAATGCAATTAAATTTTTTTCTAGGTGAACAGGAAGTTAGGTATGACCAAACTATACACTTATGGGACCAACAGTTGTGTACTTTGTCAAAAGGCATATCAGCATTTTGTATGTCATGGATAAAGTTTGCCCTTTCCCAAAAAGGTATGTAAAGTCAGTCAGAGAGGCTATTATATCTTTTAATGAGCTGTTTGATACAGTTTCCATTGTCCTTAACGCAATCCTAGGGATAGAGATTTAACATTTCATTTTGAACGGGATTTAGAAGAAGAACGTCGGGCATTGAAAGAAGATCAAAAAATATGTCGGAGTAGGGCACAGAAATATTTGATAGAGACAAACAGAAGAAGAAGGTAAGTAACGAGGGTTCCTTTGGTGGGACATTGTAAAAAAAAAAAAAAAAGTCAAGACCTTGAGACGGCTCAATATATTTTTACTGTTTGCACGTTCACACAGTTAAATAGCCTCACTGCTTTGTTCTAGAGGAATCTGGGCTGAAAAGTTTCACCAATCCAGTTTCTTGCTATAGGACAAAATATAAAAAGAACAATATTCTGAGTTACTCGCTATTTTTTGGAAACTCAC